CAACGGGGAAAGCTTCAGGGCTTTTGGAGAAGACAGGAGAATTGAGGGGATGGGCAGAGGGTGCTGATGGGGTCTGACAGCCAGCACAGTGCTGCAGTTGTATCAAATGAGACAAAAATTGCCAAGGACAGTTCATGCAGATTCTCCTGTCAGGAAGCAGCTTGCCGGGGTAGCTTGCCCTTGTCTGCCATGGTTGCAGAAATGACCCGACATCCAACCAGGCACCACTCAACTGAGCCATGCGCTGGAAGATGCTCTGCCCAGGGCACAGCCAGACTGGCTCTGCACCTGCTGGGCCCTGTGTCATGGCTGGTCTCTGGGTCCTGCTGAGACTGAGGGGCAAGTCTGCCACGTCTGTGGGATCACTGAGCTCCTAAGTCCTTTGGAGCCAGAGGGATGCATCAGATCCACAGGCACTTACCCACCGTTCGGTCCTTGTGAATGCCACCAGCAACTAACCTCCAAGCCCTGTGGTTTGTGTCTCCTCACGCTTCTGCCCCAGGGAAAGCCAGGTCAAAAGGAAACAGCATGGGGACTTCCCACAGGCAAGCAAACTTGCAGCAGAAAATGGCTTGGGCCACTTTGCATCCTGCTGATTTGAGTGGGTCCTGCCCTGATCACGTTTGCATGGGCACAAACAGGCTGCAGCTGTTGGGGACTTGGAGTGCCCTATTGCTGTTTTGAAGAAGGGTTGCTTTTTCCATCTCCTCATCTAGATCAGAGGAGGGGTGCCTCCTATCTAGTGATTTATAGCTGATTTATTCTCCTATTTAGTAACTTATAGCTGATATCCCCCTGACAATAAACCCTCGGTCTGTCTGCTATTGCAGGGCAAAAGCAGCAGATTGTTTGTCCTTCCAGAGATAAAATCTGTAGGGCAGTTCACTGGTGTGGAGTATTAACTGAGGCCTGAGTATACAAGGCAGATGTGCCAAAGCTCCCAGCATTTTTCATGCGCTGTCAGAGGCTTTTGGGCTGATGCGTGGGCACTTGGCGTTTGAGGCAACAAGGATTGTGGCAGGTTTGGGTGAAATGGTATAGTGGGAGGTGTCCCTGCCCATGGCGGGGGGGGTTGGAACTGGATGATCTTAAGGTCCTTTCCAACCCCAACCATTCTATGATTCTATGTGCTACAGCTGCCTGCAGCCCGGTGTGAAGGAGCAGGGTTGAGAAAGGGAGGTGCTTCAGCCCAGCCTGGGTCAAATCCGCTCCTCTGTCTCCATTACACCCTGCACCAAGCACAGCGCTGCCGAAAAGCCCTCAGAGATGCTCTGCTGGAAGCGAGTTGTATACGAGCTGCTCTGCTGACAGCCCACCAGGAGCTGCATTTTATCTGGATGCCTTGGAGGACAGGGTGATGATTTGGGACACGCTTGCTGAAACGTACTGCCACGGCCCTGGGTTTAAAGTAATGTCTGGGTCGATGTGAAGCGTAGCCATGAGAAGCCAGCACAGGTGGGTCTGAACAGCCCCCTACGCTCAGGTACTCCCTTCCCCCCCAGGATGTCCCAGGCTCAGCAAGGCACTGCCCTGGAGCTCAGGTTGCTCACGTGCTTTTGCAGCTGAGGGGTTGGAAAGTGCTGGAAATGAACATTTTCCCCTCCTCCACCTCCTTAACCAACCTTGCATAATTTTCCCTTTAGCCTCCCTAGACAGGTTCGTTACAATTCCCCTCCATTAATATGCAAATATGCCCTAGAGGAAAAGAGAGCCTGGATTTATTAACATGAATCTGTTAACTCTGTCACTGCTGCACTGCCCTTTGCAGACAGGAGGATGCTTCCCCCAGCCTGGAAAGCTGGGAGAAAGACACTACGAAAGGAGAACCATAACGTGCAGCATGAAGACAGAGAGGAGCAATGACCCCGCAGCAGCCCGGCAAGGCTGGGTTCTGCGGGTAAGTGCAGACTTGCGAGTTGTTAAGACCTTGATTCTGCCTTTCACTTCTGCCACAGGCTTCCTGCACATGCCAGGGCAAACCACTCAACCCTTCGGCTAACCGCTGGGAGCTGCTGGGGGAAGGTGCCAGCATCCTTACGCTGCAACCTCTGCCACGTGCTGAGAGCGGCAGGGACACAGCTCAGCACAGCCAGCTGACCAGGAGGACGGGGGGAATCGAGTTCGTGGGATAACTCCTGCAAAGCAAAACCCTGGCCTGTGTCCAGCCCAGGTGGTACAGAGGGAGGCACATCTGCCCTGTGGCTGAGGCCTGCGTCATGATGCAGCATGCCAGAGCCCCACGTGTGAGCGCTGGGGCCAGGAGCTGGGGGAGCAGGGCCAGGAAAGCCTGGAGGAGCCCAGAGGGATCTGGGCTGAGCTCAGCAGGTTGCCCACCCAGGGGAACTCGTGCCTCAGCATTTCTCTGGGCCGGATAAGCCTTCAGATAGCCAAACAAATGGGTATCTATTGGCTGGCAAATTCACAGCCTGGATCTAATTTGGTTTCCACTGCCACAGTGACATGAGGTGTAAATTCCTTTTCCTTAATTCAAGGTACATATTGACATTTAATCATGCAAATATGTGCCTCCTTTGGCAATTCATTTCCCTCCAGCTTCTTTCAACAACTACCTCTTCTGGCCAGGGCCCTATAAAAGATGATTCTTTGACTGTTGCAAAGGAAATGAATGTCTCTTGCTCTCCCTCTCTTTTCTTTTGGTTGGTTGTTTTCCAGCAGGGTATATTTCAGTTTATGCTATGCAGATGCCGATTGACAGGAATATTAGCTTTCACGCTTCTCTAGGTTTGCAAAGTCAGAACACGAAGCCGTATCGGCTTCTCCCATCCCCACCCTTCCCCCTTTCCCCAGCCCTTCCTGCACCCCCTGCGCCTCCACACCAGGAATTGTGTTGGTTCTTCCGCCTTGTGGCTTCTGCCTTTCAAGGTGGTTCTTGGTTGTCCCATCATAACAGACAAGGCTAACAAGGTTTCCTTCTCAGCTAACTGCTGAGATCCCTTTTTATCCCCAGTGGTGGATCCTGCCTGGGTGCCATTGACTTGGTCCGGTTTGGGTGCTCTCACCTTCGGGTTCAGCCAGCAGTCTCTGAGCCATCACCATCCTCCTGCACCATGTCAATGCTGTCTTCCTCTCCGACCTCAGACCATCTTGGTCCAGTCACATGATGGACCAAGAAGAGAAAAGTGAGGATGCCAGGCCCTGCCTCCAAAGATATATGCTCTGTGCCCTTGGTCATCCAATTTTAGTGTAAAGGCTGAAGAGAATAGTGCAGTGGCATTGCAGCCAGCAGGCCAGATCATCACATGATAGTGGCCAACGTCTCCTGCCCAGGGGGAGCAAAGAAACAAGAGTATTTTGGCATCGGCTCTTGAGTAAAGCTCCCTGAGACATTTCTGATGGTCCAGCTTGAGTTCCAGTCATGCTAAGAGAGCATCACTTTCAATTACTTTGAAATCACATTCTCGGTTTGAGGTGTTTTTTTTTGTCTCTGGTAGCGCTCTCTAAAGGAAGAAAATGTGTCCCTGGCACGTCGCTGGCCACTCAGAGTTTACTTCAGTAATAAATAGGTTTCTTCTTCCCTAGTGCCTGCTGCAGGTTGGAAGGGGAGAAAATCAGCCTTCCACCCCTGCTGCATTAGGCAGCAGGCTCCAGTAGATACCTGGAGGGGGTGTATTACACAAATGGCAGCTATGTTTCCCCCATAGCTCTGCTTGGCTGGTGAAGGGTTGGCACAGCACACAAACGGTAGGGGTGCAAAGATCAGGCTGACGCAGATGGAGAGCAGAATCCAGCAGCAGTCAGAGAGCAGAGTGTGCGGGAGAGGCAGCAGTGGGACACAGCTATAGAACATGCGTGGTAGGCTGTATTCCTCTCAGGTGGACACGCACAGCAAGGTGTTACCCTGTTCAAATCAACAGCTATGGGCATGCAGGGGAAGGGAATTCATGCTGCCTGTCCAAAATGCTGCTCTCTGTGGAAAGCAGCGACCGGGGCAGATGGGCTTGGGTAACTCCCACAAGGTCCAGGTCTACATTTGGGCACTGTCAGATCTCTGGAGCAGACGCACCTGGAACTGGCCAGCATCTGTTCTCAGGAAACACCCTGAGCACAGTTGTTGGCAGTGAGGCTTGTGGCATCGCTTTAGTTTGAAAGCAGCCTGATGGGGACCAGTGGGTGAAGATGACTCTGTGTAAGGTGGCCGTTATGGGGAGGCCCTCTTGGGGTCACTTCAGGGCTGTCAATTTCCCTCTTTGACTTTTAACCATAAATAGTTAATAGTCATATAGTTAACAGTCAAATCCCATGTGAGGAATCAGACTGAAGAGCCTTCCATGGGGCTGCTCCTTAGGCAGGGTGCTGTGGTGCTTTACGGGGCTGTTTTCAGACAGCGACAACGTTGCAGCGGCGGCGTGCTCTGTGTGGCCCACGCTCTCTATGCGCGCAGCGGCAGGCACACACAGCGTATACAGAGCGGGCTGCGGAGCTTCCTGCAGATCCCTGCTTCGCCCTACCCAGCCCAGCCTGGACAGGAGCAAAGCGACAAAGCGCACACGTGTGTACCCCGCCGCCTAGTGCATACATGCGCATACCCAGCGGGGGTATCGGGGTGACACCGAGCGCGGGCGGCACCACCCATTTCCCCTCTCCCCTCCCCCCAAACTCCTTGCTCCATTCACAAACCGAGGGCGAACATGGCCGGAGTGTTTTTTTTTGTGAATGGGAGGAGGCGGTGACGGCGCGCGCGCGCGCCCCTTCGCCCCGCCCCGCCCATTCATCCCGCGCCGCGGCGAGCGCGGCGCGGGATGAATGGGCGGGGCGGGGCGAAGGGGCGGGCGCGCGCGCGCTCGCCCGGCCCGCCGCTCCCCTCCCCCCCCTCCCCCTCCCCCTCCCCCTCCCCCCGGGGTAGTAAAGGCTCCGCCGTCCGCCGCGCGCGGGGGTGCGCGAGCGGCACCGGCAGCAGGGTTCCCTCCCCCTCCCCACCCCCCCCCCCAATCCCCTTCCCTCGCTGCCGGTCCCGGTCCCGGTCCCGGTCATTCCCCGCCATGGTGGCCACGGAAGGTCTGCGGGAGATGGAGGGCAGCGCGCTGCGGCGCCTGGTGTGCCGCGAAGAGGCCGGCGGCGGCGGCGGCAACGGGAGGTGCCTGGTGTTGGACTGCCGTCCGTTCTTGGCTCACAGCGCCGGGCACATCCGCGGCTCTCTGAACGTGCGGTGCAACACGATCGTTCGGCGCCGGTCGAAGGGGTCCGTGAGCCTGGAGCAGATCCTGCCGGCCGAGGGGGACGTGCGAGCGCGGCTGCGCGCGGGGCTCTACGCCGCCGTCGTGGTGTACGACGAGCGCAGCCCGCGCGCGGAGGCCCTGCGCGAGGACAGCACCGTGGCGCTCGTGGTGCGCGCGCTCCGCCGCGACACGGCGCGCGCCGACATCCGCCTCCTCGCAGGTACCGGCGGGGGGGGGCTGGGTATCGTGATAGTGGGGGGGGGGGTCTCCGATGAACCGTGAGCGGGTTGGGAGCGACCCCGAGAAGCGAACCCCCTTTGGAAGCGTGTGTGTGTGTATGGGATCCCCCTCCTTGCCTGAGCTCAGCCCCACGCTGCCGGTGCCCGTCTGCAGCGGGCAGAGCCATCCCCCACATGCCTCTGTGTTTGCGACCGGAGCTTTGCCCCCGCCGCGCTCTCAGCGCCGGCATGTAGTGAATGGAGCGCTGCGAGTGGTGGTGAGAATTGCCGTGAGGCGGTTGAGGGGAGGGGATGCGCGGCTGGGGCTGCTGCGTGAGCTCTGTGGGGGCTTTCTTCTTTGTTTATAGCCTGAGAGTTAATTTATCCCTTGGTTTACTTACAGCAGGGGTGAGGATGTGTATGCAGGGTAGCAAATCCATTCGGAGGGTTGATAGATGGGGGAGCTGGCACTTGTGTTGTACTAGGCACAGTAAAACCAGCAGGAGCTGTTCCGCGGATGCGATACGATGTGCTGCTGCGGGAGCGCCGGCACAGCGAGGGCTGGCTCGGGTGCACGCTCTCTGGTCCTTCGCCATGAACCGTCGCGGTGCTAGGAGCCGTGCGTGTGTTAGGAAACACTGGCGGTGCTTCAGGGGTGGCCTTTGACAGCTGAGGGCTTCTGGTGTCCCTGTGGCAGAGTGCTTGGGGTTTCCAGCCCTTTACTTTTGAGGAACGGACTCAGTCTTGGCGCAGGAGACTTCCTCCTTCCTTACCACGGAGCTGCTAAAATGGTTGGGCTTTCACAAGAGCCGTGCTAGCACAGCACTGTGCGGGTCCGAGTGCAGATGTATCGGGTGCAGGTCACAGCGAAGACCTGTGTGTGTTTTGTGTAGATCAGACTGCGGCCAGGCTCCCTGTGAAACTGCCCTGCTGGGTGCTGCTGGGCCATGGGCACCAGCGTGGCATGGTTCCTGTGTCAGGCGGGGTCCACATACACGGCCAGCAGCAGCACACCGCTGCATGGAGCAGCTGGATGTGGTGCTTGGCCAAACAGGCATTAGAGCTGATAAGGGTACATTGAAGAGATACCCCTTTGTTTGAAAGGGTCGGTTTGCCTTTCCAAGGCAGAAGGTGTGCACACGTCACCCTAAGCAGCTCAGGATGGTGCGATGGCCACCTGAGTGGGATGTGTGTGATAGACCCAGGGATTTTGGGATCAGACCTCCTGAAGATAGACGTGTAGCAGGGGCACTTGGTTTTGGGTGCGCTTCCAAATTGAACCAGTGGGACCACAAAAGGATGTCAGGTCCTGGAAGCAGAGCCTCTGCAAACTGTCCTGCTCCTGTGGGAGCGACAGTGCAAATTCAGGGATGCGCACGCATGTTCCCGCTTCAAGGTGCCAGAGCCTTTCCTTGTGTAGGGGGATGATACCAGGAAGGACACTGGGATACAGGCAGTGTCTGTCTCTAGTTGCTTAGGGATTCCTGGGCTGCTTTGCTGCGGACACTTACACTCACTGGTGGTGTGACTGTCTTGATCGGGGCAGTCTCAGAGCTGAGGCTGGGTAAGGAACATGTCCTTGTGTGTGTGTGCTCTGGCAAGCCCAGATGCAGGCACAGGACCTGCAGTTAGGGTGAGCCTTCAGGAGCTATCCTGGGAATCAGGGCTTGGTCTAGTGAGATTCTTGTGGTAATAGTTCAATACCTGATTTCCGTTGGTTTTAAGGCTCAAGGTCAGGCTGCATAAGGATGCCAGGGGTTTTGATTCGATTTGAATGGGAGAAGGAAATCTCACCTGAAGTGTTTATTTGCAGCCAACACGGCAGTTTCTCTGGCCTGGGAAGCCAGTGGGGTTTGCTCTTGTTTTACCTGCTGTTAGGAAGACCTGAGGTCACCTTTGCTTATCCCCCTGGCAGCGGGTCAGGGAAGCAGCTGCTCTTTCACAGGGCACTTGCCTGTTCAGCTCACACCTGTGTCCTTGAGAGGCAATGGGCACCTCTCCGGAGAGCTGCTTTGCTGTGGGGTTAGCTTCAGTGTACCTGGCCAGTGCCAGGGCTCCCCTGACCCATTGTTTCTGGTGAGCTCTGGGCTGGAGGGTCAAGCTGGGAAAGCTGGAGACCTCCCTGTGCTTTGCAGCAGGATGATGTATCCGAGGAAGCTGGGAACTGAACAGTCCTTGGCATGGGAGCAGCTTTTCCCATTGAGGTGAGAGGATGCTTGCATCAAATCCCCTCTCCATCGTCTTTGATGGCTTTGGTTTGGGGTTTTGGCTAGCAGTGCGTAGGGGACTAAACCTGAGAACAGGGACTTTGAGGCAGCCAAGAGCATTGCAGAGTTCTTGGAGCTCTGGTTCCAAGGGAGTGGTGGGGCCTTAAGGATTCCCCCTGTGCTGCCAGGAGCCTACTTGCGGATCCTGGGGCAGGAGACCACTCTCCATCACTGCAGCATCATCTAGTGGCGAAGGGCATGGAGGGATGCGTCAGCTCCAGCTCCGGTGTTCTGCAGTGGGATAACGCTTTCTGCCTCTCTCCTTGCAGGGGGTTACGAGCGCTTCTCCTCGGAGTACCCCGAGTTCTGTGCAAAAACCAAGTCCCTGAGCAATGTGTCACCCCCCACCAGTGCCGAAACCCTGGATTTGGGCTGTAGTTCCTGTGGGACCCCCTTTCATGACCAGGTATGTCTAGAAGCCTGGTGTTCAGCTCTTTTGATGGCTCCTTCCAAAATTCCAACCTGGTCCTGCTGGAGTTTCAATCTTTCCCTGATTCCAGCAGAGCCAGAGCCTGGCTTCCTTTCCTCTGTATGGTGGTCCTCCCGATCCCAGAGTGTTTGTGCTTCCTGGGGAACTGACAAGCCCAGATCCTATTAACCACACTGGCCTGTTCCTGAACAGGATTGGGGGGGGGGGGCAAAATGGGTTTAGCAGCCCAGAAGGGACTGCTTCTGGGCTCTCTCTGCTCTCTCTCTGCTCCCTCTTTCCAGGGCCTGGACCAGGTGCCAGGTTCCTGCGCTGCTCAGGGCCTCCAAGCCATCTGGACGTGTCTTGCCCACCGCTGTCCCCTGGTCACCCCCACAGCTGTTGTTTTCCTCTGTAACAGGGTGGCCCTGTGGAAATCCTTCCCTTCCTCTACCTTGGCAGCGCCTACCACGCTGCCCGGCGGGACATGCTCGATGCTCTGGGCATCACAGCCCTCCTGAACGTCTCCTCAGACTGCCCCAACCACTTCGAGGGGCTCTACCAGTACAAGTGTATCCCGGTGGAGGATAACCACAAAGCCGACATCAGCTCCTGGTTCATGGAGGCAATTGAGTACATTGGTGAGTGCTTGTGTCTGTGTGTGTTTCACTGGGAGGGAGGTTCCCGCCTCGAAGTCCTGGAGGGTCAGAGGGGCCTGGGGTCCAGCAGGTTCGAAGCCAGTTGTTGCTGTGGTGGGAGGGAGGTCAGCACCTCCTGCAGGTCCGGTGAGGGGTTGGGCTGTGTTGGAAGCGCCGTGGTCTCACCTCTCATGCCGTTGCCCTCCAGACTCAGTGAAGGAGTGCTGTGGCCGGGTCCTGGTCCACTGCCAGGCTGGTATCTCCCGCTCAGCCACTATCTGCCTGGCTTACCTGATGATGAAGAAGCGTGTCAAGCTGGAGGAGGCCTTCGAGTTCGTGAAGCAGCGCCGGAGCATCATCTCCCCTAACTTCAGCTTCATGGGGCAGCTGCTGCAGTTCGAGTCGCAGGTGTTGGCCACCTCGTACACAGTGGAAGCCGTCAGCCCCTCTGGGAAGCTGCGGGAGCGGGGCAAGGCCACCTCCACACCCACCTCTCCGTTTGTCTTCAGCTTCCCAGTCTCGGTCGGTGTCCACGCCACCCCCAGCAGCCTCCCCTACCTGCACAGCCCCATCACCACGTCACCCAGCTGTTAGCTCAGGGGCTGAGGCCAGCCAGGCAGAGGGGGCTGGGCGTGGAGTGGGGCAGGAGGGCATGGAGCCCTGTGATGCTAAAGCAATAGTGCTGGACACTGCCATTCACCCTGGACTCGATGTCTTCTTTTCGTAGGGAAATTTCTTACCTCATCTTGTTTTTTTTTGCTTTGTAATTTTATGTTTTGAAAGCATGAAAGTTGTAAAAGCCACAAGCCCTGACACCGTCCAGGCTCTTTGGGGAAGGAAAAGAATGGTATACTGGGTTTCCTCAAGTGCCTGGCCTTCATCTCTTTCCATCCCTATTTGATTGTCTTCTTTTTAAAAGAAAGATACAGCTCCCCTTCTCCCCATACTTCTGCCCCTAGCTCATCCGGGTTGAAAAGGGAGCACACCCTCTTTGACTGTGCAGCTGTCTTCCCCCTTGCACAAAGAGACATGGGTGTGTGTGGTGGGTGCTGCTTACCTGAGCCAGTTACACTGGGTGAGGAGCAGAGCTGCAGGCACGGCCTTGGGGTGAGCAGGAGTGGTGGCACAGTGGTGGCTGCCTGCAGTCAGCCTCAGCCTTGCCAGTTGCCTATGGAAGTGATGCAGGAGCTGGGAAAGGCACCAGCTAAACCCATTCCTGTGGCTGGGAGGGGGGTAGGACAGGGAGATGCAGTCCTAAATGACTCTTTTCTTGCCTCTGTGGGTCCCTGGTTCCTACAAAACTGAGGTCCAATCTCCTGTGGCTTAGAGAAGAGAAGGAAAGGGTGAGGGCAGCAGTCTGGGCTGCTTCTGATTACTCCCTCTGTTTCCTCCCCACCCATCCCACCGCTGCTCTTCCAAAAAAGGCAGGATGGGATGTGGGTGTAATGGAAGAGAGAAGCAGCCAGGTGGAAGAAAGGCTGGCCCAGAGACATCCATCCAGAATCTTCAATCTTCCTCCAGCCCTTCTCCACCTGAGCTGGGTGTTGTTCACCTGTACAACACTGCTGCAGCCTGCGGTCCAAGCCTGGAGAATGCCTCATCCTCAACCCACCTGGAGCCGTGTTTCCCCCCAGTCCCATCCAGCACATGAGATGCCTGTGTGGCTGATGTACATATGTATGGTTTGTTCCCTTTTTATTTTCTAGAAATTAACTTTTTATTTATTGCCTGAGGGAGGGAGAAAACAAACTGTTTGGAGAAAATAAAAATAAACCTGTTTTCAACAGTTGTGGCTGGAGCAGGTTTGTGCTAAAGCCAAGAGACAATGGCAGCTTCTACAGAGCAACTGTTAAAAATGTATTTATTGAATTTTAAACTAGTACAAGTATTGCAGATCAGACATTTAGCCAAGCACATTTATAGATCAAACTCGGTTGTTACAGAGATGTTACCTAAAGTCCACCGTGTGTAGGTAGGCTGAGAACCTGCCCATCGTCTTCTTTGAGAGAGAAGGTAAAGGAGGAAATAAATAAATGATAACCCAGTCCCAGGTAATTGGCAACCAAGAGAGGAAACACGCAGGGCTAGTTATGAAAACAAGTTATACAAAGAAAGGTCTAAAAACTCAACTCCCAGGTACACTGTCATCTAAGTTGGCAGAGAAAGCAACCGAAAGAAGATGCGCAAGCTCATGGGACTGCGGCACAGAAACATCCCCACTTCAATGGCCAGAGCTGGAGCAAGTTCTGCAGCTGTTAAGGAGGAAGTGTCAGAACTACCATCTGATGCAGGGACTCTTAATGGTCCGTATTAGTAATTAACAGAACCAACACTAAAAATTGCCACCAGCAGGATCAGTAGGACAGAAACAGATGTATCGAAACCAGTCAGACAATATGACCTGACAGGCATATGTGAGAGTGTAATGGGAAATGCATCTGTTTCTCACGTCCCCTGCTGGTTCCTGGGCTCGTTCACCTCGCTTCAGAAGTTGTAACATTTGCTGTCTCCTGGTCCTCTAGCTTTCACAGGTGGGAACACTGCCACTCCACCTCTGCTGCTCCCTGAAAGATGAGGAGAGCATGCTCTGGGCTGTGCCAAAGCCACCACCTCTGATCATCAATAGATTCAAGTCTATGGTGGCTCACAGGCCACTCACTACCCAAGGCTAGAATTGCATCTGTACTTACCTACATCTTCCCCAGCAGTGCTGCAGCATAGCTTAAAATGACTGAAGCGTGCATCAGACCTTCAGCTGAGAAAGACCAGCAGTGTTCCAACTAACCTGTTTTGTGTTTGCACCCTTCCTTTTACCCACCTTTCTGAATAATCTGGGTCATTTCTGTTAACAGTTCCATATGGAAACTCTAGGTAGTGCAAGTACTGTGCAGGAGCTTGGACTGCACTGCAGGGATGCAGGAGTGTCTCGTAAGAAGATCTGCCGCTGTCTTTAGTTCTGCAGGCCACACAGTGGCACATGTTAGCATCCCTCAAGCACATCTTGCATTCACAGTGAGCAGACATTTCCTCTAACCTACAACAAACAGTAGGATCAGCTAGTTTCCAGAGCCAAGGAAGCACCCTCCTCCAGAAGCTACTCTGTCCCCTGTACCACGTGCCTCTTGTGTGTCTGCTGCCCACCAAAGCCAGCAATGCAGAACATTTTGTGGGGCTTTCTTTTTGCTTAAGTAAGTGTAGAGGTTAGGTTTGGGGTACTCCTGTTATCAGTAAGCACGGTAATAAAGTTTGCAAGCAAAATAAATTCCTGCTGCATAATGCAATGGGATTCCATCACATGCAAACATTCAAAACGAAGGTTAGAAAAACACATTGCTCATTCCTTGGACTGCACACCAATAGTGACCGCAAAATGGTGGAAGTAGCACAAGAGGTTTGTAACAGTCTCTGTGGAGCTGGGATCAGAACAAAGTGGCAGATAAAAATAAGGGTGAGAAAATAAGATACCATAAGGTGTACTGTACTCTCTGCTTTTAATCCTAACAAGTTTTGTTGACAGCATTCAGACTGCTGTGTCACTCTGCACCATGTACCTGATTCATCTGTCTCATGGAAACAATGTCAGCAACAGAGAGCAGAACCCTCCATTCTTCGCTACGTGATGAAGTTTCTTTCTGTTTGCCTATTAAGGTCCTGACGTTTCAAAATGCTGCCTCAAAGGGACATGGGCAAAAATCAACAGGCCTGAGAGAGACAACTGTCCTTTTCCCAGCAGACACCATGCCCTGTCCCAGGGGGAACAGCTCTTTCTGGAGCCAAGTGAGAGGTGCCCAGGCTCCCAAACCTATGAGATGGCTTAGCCCAGAATGTTCTTGCATCCTCGGCTCCTCCTGTGCCTCCACTGGTGACTCAATGCTGCAAATGAGCAACTGGTGAGCAGGGGACCGCCCTTCCCAGGAAGTCAGAAAACCATTTCTCAGGAGGCAGCAGCTGCCTGGTCACAGGGGCATGCCTTTTTTAAGGTCCCATTCTCTAGAATTAGGAAGCATCATGTTAACTCCCTTGGGTGAAGCAGCAGCATCTGTACCGTTAACAACCTGCCAAATACAGCCCTACCACCAAAACCATCACCAGCTTTCTCACGGGTAACTTTGATACTGATGGGCAGATCCTCACTTTGTTTGAAACTGGAAGAGGAGCTACAACAACATATGCCAGGAGAGGCAGATGCTACTCCCGCACAGATTTCTATGACACACAGACGCACCATCAGGCCTAGGTATTCCTCTCTGTCTGGTCACGAACAGACAGGAGATCACATCATTACAAGACAAAAACCACTGCAAAACGATTTCCTCACACAGCACCTTTACTCTGCACGGAACATCAGGTACGTTAACACTGGCAGTTCAAAGATACTGGACAGTATTTTTATCCTCTAGAAGTTCAAGGCTGCAGAAGAAATCCAGACTAGCCATTAGTTCAATCAGCACACAGGAAACAACAAGCAAGAACGGAATCTGTGCGGGCTTGGTGGGGTTTTTCTGTTTTTAGGTTTGTTCGTGCTTTTGAAAGATGTAAAGCTGTTAACTTCCACACTGACATTAACCATTTTGCTCACCTAAGCAGCACAACTGTTTCACCATTTAAAACTATGTCTAACTGGGGATGGTGAGCAAACACGCACTCTCACTGCTATCTGAAACCCTAGCGTAGATAGGCACATCTCCCAACTCCGTTATTAGCTAAGTTAAAAACAAACCCCAAACTTTAATGATGAATACAAAGCTTCAAAGCCTAGTGGTGATCTCTGCAATCCTAACACTATTAAACAAGTAGCCAAAATACAAGCACCCAATTTCATCAATGAAATCTGATTAAAAGGACAACTAGGCTAGAGCCTGCCTTGGACTTCAAAGCTACATATTTAATCAGGTCACAAAATGAAGCGAGAACCATAGATCCACTGCCAGCTTAAGAAAAGTAAACCCCAAAGTTCAAGGATTTGTTGGAATATTGCTACTTCTAAGGTTTTCTCTAAAGAGAATTACAAACAGCTGATGTGCAGGTAGCCATATTGCACTAAATGACTGGTTTTACAGTGGGTGAAGCTCCTCTGCGAGGACAGCTTGCTTCAGCATTAATGTCTTCATGCTAAAACTGAAACTGCGTGTCTTAATGCTGAAAGTGAAAAGCTCTTCAGGTTTAAGTCTGTTTTATCCAAACACATCTGCAAACTCCCACTTATGGGGAGCACATCCATTTTTATAAACAAAAAGCATGCTATTCTGCCGTTTCCTTGCTTTAAGGGGGATGACACCTGAATGCATGAACTGGATCATCAGATACTCAATGGTGCTGGTTGACAGGAAAACATACGGCACGTTGTGTTCCAAGGAACGTCTTTTTCTCCAGTCGTTACATGCTCAACACTGAAGCACATCTCCTGGTATTGGTTGGTAAGAAAACAAAATGAACACGGCTCGGTTTTCAGCCTTCTCTGAAGCTGTTAAACCAACAATAACAAAAAAATCTGTTTCTACTTCTGTTAAATGCATATCCTCCATGAGGGGGACTTCTGAAACTGTTTGATGCTGTGCTATGCAATGCTTAAAAATAACTTTCTCTTACCCAGTGAAATAAACCTGGGAACTCGCGGGGAAGGGGATTTGAGTGAATAAATCCTAGCTTTGTTCTCTGGTATACCTGCAAAGAAAGCCACTTGCCCACTGGTGTTTTAAAAGTTCATTCTCATCAAAATGTAAAATCGATATTTAAAAAAATTACTATTTTTTGTAAATCCTTTAAACTCTTCAACTGTGATGTCACACGCAAAGGCGTGACACAAAGCTGTTATAATACACTCTTCACGACCAGTCTGAAACCCATATACTGGGTCTCATATCACAGAGGGACATGAACCAGATATGCCCTCATGCATGCAATCTTCTGACTTTTCACCTGTTACCTCCCAGCAAAACCATGCGCCACTGGAACCGGAGAACGTTTCACAGACTTCATGTACTTAATAGAAGCCTTATAAAACGTTCTTTTAGAGATGCCAGCAGAGGGCATTGACCTGCTTTATGAAGTTGTTCTTCCAAGCCCAAGAGCTGGTTTTACCCTTGCAAACACTTCCTAGGGCTTCCCCCAGAAAACTCACACAGACAAAGCAGTGAACTGACATGATTTGTTTCCACTCTAAAGCTACACTCACTCATATTATCATTTGCTCAGAGGTGTGCAAAAAACCCCTATATTGAAGAACTGGACCTAGCCCCTTCTCAGATTAAATTCATATTGCATTGTTAACAATTTTAGTCAACTCGACTTTGTGCAAAATATCTTTAAGAAGGTTCTGGCTCAACTTCAGAATACAAAAGGAAAATAAATAGTTGACTAGGATCTCTTGAAAACATAAAATGAATGGTGTATGCTGAAAAGAAAGTTATGGGCTTAATGCAATTGGTCTGCAAATAACTAGAATAGTAGTGTCTGACATTTTAACATGTGAGATGGCACTGATAAAGATTTCTGTTTGCACAATAATGTTCCCAAAGTCTAGATCAAAACAACATTATTTTACACAAAGTAACTGCAGAGACTAGGAGCCTGAGATATGTTATTAAAAGGCAGTCCCTTGTAAACTTTCCTCAAAAGGAACAGTAGCAGTTGAGTATGCAAGAGTTACTCATATCATATTCATCAAGACAGCAATGCTTCATAAAAGACATACAGCTTATTTCCAGGTTGTTAACAATTTTATATGATACTGATTTTCTGAAACACGCATCCATCCAGTCCAAGATTGAAGTCACATCCTTCTTC